AAAAAAAGCATTTTTTCACAGTGCTAGAATCAGATTTTTCCAGAAATATTAAACTTACTAATAGTTAGGAACATGGGCAATTTAGTTACATGATTTTATATGCATCTTGAAACTGCAGCCTTGCTAAATTGATACTGCTCTATAGTTGTAATGAAGCTTATTACATTATGGTTTTGATATCCAACATAAACCACATAAATAAAATAAATAGCGTGTTGTCTTTATCTTCCAAGGCATTATATAGTACTTCTAGCAAGTGCACCAACAGAAAAACAACGTCTAGAATGGTGAGTAATAGATTAGACTTTACAGAAAAAATAAACTTCAAATTGAATCAGACACAGGAAATGAAAACATGGAGTTTGATTTGATTTGTTCATATATAGAATGTTACTACTAAAGGAAATCTAGGAATAAGGGGGTCCATATGCATCTTTGTATTTTGCTTTAATAAAGAGCTGTGTACCTTTTTTGTAGAAGTGCTTTGTTCTTAGCTTGCCCATTTTTCTTTTAAGTGTTTGTGATAATATCTCTTGTATCCGTCCTGATTTGGATGACATATACTTTAGTTGTCTTTTCCCCACAGTTAATTCTTTGTAGTAGAGCACACTTTAGAGTTCATTGGGGGAGAGGGAGATAGTTCATCCAGTTGACCAGCCTTGCTATATGTTTATAAGTCGGATATGATTTTGGCATTTTAAGTTGAATATGGTTTTGATACCAACATAAAGCACATAAATAAAATAGTGTGTTGTCTTTCTCTTCAAAGGCATTATGTAATACTTCTAGGAAGTGCACCAACAGAAAAACAACAAATGTTTATTTGTTGTTTATTAATTGTATTAACAAAAAATATTTCTTACATAAACATTTGATTATTTTTTAAGTAAGCTCAACCAAAGCTTTCATTAATAGTAAGTGACATTTGTTCAGGGTGGGCTTGGTGGAATCAAAAATCCGAATCCTGGTTGGAAGCTTGGAGAAGAACGAATTCATTACATTGGCTCATGTGAATCCTCAGTCATTCCCAGCACCCAAGGAAAATCCTGACAAGTAAGCAGCCTTCTGATGGATCTCATTTTCTTGCCCTTCTGTCAGCTTCATTCATAGATGCTTGCATGCAGTTTTCATAAATGGCACCACTGTCCTGTTGGGGAGATATATATCATAAAGCAGATTTAAATTTTATAACTTTTTGATCAGAAAATTTGAAGAGACTTTCTTGAAAATTCACTGAAATAAAATTTTTTTCTAAAAATAGTTTCTAATGAGAAACGAGTTGACATTTTGTAGATCTGCTCTAGTACTGTTTTTAGTATTTTAGAATTTATATTTAATTGTTAACATTCTTTTTTCTATTCTGTACAATGTACCTACTGTACCAAACATCAATCTGCTTTTATTAAAATATATTTTGATTTTAACCTTGCAAAAATTTCTCATTTGTGGTGAGAATAAAATAGACTTGCTTTTTCTTCTAAGAGTCTTACAATAGGTCAGTTAACTAGTTTTATTGTTGCTGCTAATAATTTGAGACTTTCTTGCATTTGAAGTATTGAAGTAGTTGTATAAGATAAACATCAAAGCTTGGCAAATACAAGTCTGATTACAGAATATTCTGGTTATTTGAACTGCTTATACGTGTTGGTTGCTGCCATCTTAATTATTACAATATGTGTTGTTTTATTCAGTAGATCCACTGTTAAGTATTGAGAGATAGCTGTATCACCAACTGGTTCTGTTGCTGTTAGTCACATTTATATGACCTTCCAAATTAACTTTATGTATTTAGTGCAGGGTCTCACTACACAGATCACACTTGTAGGGATGCTCCTGTTTTTCAACCTCCAAAGTGCTGGGATTACAGGTTCGTGCCACCACGCCCAGTCTCAATCACCACCCAGTCACCTCAGCGTGCCCTTGGGTCAGGGCTAGCACAGCATGTTGGGGATCGAACCCCAGTCGCTGCCAAATTAACTTTCAGGCTTTGCTTTTTTTTTTTTTTTTTTTTTTTTGGTACCAGGGATTGAACTCAGGACCTTGCGCTTGCCAAGCAGGCACTCAAGCTGTTGAACTATCTCCCCAGCCCTTCAGACTTTGCTTCTTTAAAAAAACGTATCCCTCCTTCCCCTTTAGTTTGAGTATAGTTTTTCTTTGATTCTGGTGTCATTGTTATTTTAAAATAATTAAAAACTTGCAGATATAATAAGGATATCCTTGTTCTGGAAGTCTTGATTGATTACATGGTAATAGAAATGTAGAGAAGAGGCTGCAAGTAAACCTTCACACTTTGAATCTGGGCATAGAGCGTAATTTGTCCGTATGTTTATATTAGATTTTTCCACCTATCCCAGGTTGTCAGCCCATTAGCTTTGTCATGAATCCTGATACAATGCTCTTCTTTGCAGGGAAGAATTTCGTACAATGTGGGTGATTGGGTTAGTGTTTAAAAAAACAGAAAATTCTGAAAATCTCAGTGTTGATCTCACCTATGATATTCAGTCTTTCACAGATACAGGTATGTCTACTTGGATAATCAAAATATTTAGGTGTGTGCATTTTAAATATGTCTTTATAAAGTACCTAGTTTTGTTTTTAATAACTCAGTGACATTACTTGTTAGACATGGGTTATAAAATCTTGATTTTTGGATTGGTTACTAGTTCCAATAAAAATACACATAAATGACTTATCTGTTATGATAGTCCTTTAAAAGTTAAGTGGAAAAAAAAAAGTTAAGTGGAACCATTTTAAAATTTGTCCATAATTTCATGTGAAAATAGCAACAACCTGAATGTTGTAGTTTTGTTTATAAGACAGTATTTTTTTTCTTCAGTCATTTTTGGTGGGGGGCAGTGACAGGGTCTCTGTGCAGTTCAAACTGGCCTTGAATTCATTTTGTAGCCCAGGGTGGTCTTGAATTCGCAATGATCCTCCTGCCCCAGCCTCCCCAGTGCTGGCATTACACGTGTTTGCCAATACTCTCGCTTTATGACAGTATTTCTGACTGCCATTGCTATCTTGAACCTTAGAAATTGGTCAAGCTAGGGCCGACCAAATAGCTCAATAGATTAAAGCGCCTGCAAGTAGGCGCAGAGGCCAGGAGTTTGGTCCCTGGGCCTGCCTTGCTGGCCCTGCCCCCGGGCCATGCTGAGCCAGTGATTGAGACTGGCTATGGTGGCACAGGCCTGTAATCCCAGCACTTGGGAGGCTGTAAACAGGAGAATCACTATGAGTTCAGTCTAGTAGTTGAGACCCTGAACACCCTGTAAACCCTTTCCTGAAATAAAGAAAAAGAAAAATTGATCAAGCTGAACTTATACTGGTTTGAAGGAATTTTTCTCATGTGTGAAATACAGATTCAATTGTTAATTCACTGGTGAGGTATGGAGTGATTACGTCTGCATTTTAAATTGACTTATAAGTAAAGGTATATATTTTGAAGACTGGATGGCGGATATAGTTGACAGAACAGGTCATTCCATAAATGGCACAGCTTCTCAAAGGATTAGTGAATATACATAGGGATAAGTATCTTTGTGAAGGACTAAATTCTATTCTCTTTGAAATATTCGTCCTCTGATATAAAATATTTAAGCGAGTGTCATTTGCTGCTGTCCAGTCTATGTGTTTTCTACTTAAATATTGATATTTAGCATTAATTTTTTACCTATTTCATTAAAGAGAAAGAACAAATTGGAGATAATTTGTTAATAAGCTAGATAGGTTGGGTGTGGTGTGCATGTGACCCTGGCTTCTTGGGAGGCTGAAGCAGGTGGATTGCAAGTTGAATGCCATCCTGTATAATAGCTATTCAAAAATAAAATTTTAACAAAAGTGCTTGAGTTGTAGCTTAGTGGTAAAGTGCTTGCCTGGCTAAAGCCCTAAGTTTGATCCACAGTATTGAAAAAGAAAAAAGGTAGGAAGAAAAGAAAGTTCAGTATAATTAAAGGAGAAATGAAAAGAATGTGGTAATCTGTCCTTATCTACACAGTCACTTCTCCTTGGTTTTATGTATTCAGCATCAGCCACTGTCTATAAATACTACAGAAATAATTCACATATTTAATATTGCACACTGTTCAGAGTAGCATGGCAAAGCTGCATTGTAGACACTGCAGCTCTAGTGTAGCTGTAGAAGTAGGCGAGCACCGTGGGTGAAGTTGCGTGTCCCTTCCATAGAGGCCCAGTGCTACGCCTGAGTGTCCGAGTCATCCTCACTGCACTATGTAGGCATTGCGTCCCCGCTCATCGCATATCCTAACGGGTTAGCGTAGTACAGTAGAATAGTGAGAGACCACACTCAGCCATTAGAGTGTACTGTCAGTGTTCATTTTTATTGTTCCTGTGATGTTTTACTATTTCTACTTTATAATTTTAATTTGATCATAGGTATATAAGTATAGGAAAAACCATAGTAGATAAACAATTTAGTACGTTAGTGTTTTCAGACATCAGGTGGATGGTTGAAACATACTGCCTTCAGGTAAGGATTTACTACTGTCTGGATTTCAGTGTAAATGCTCAGGCACAGTGACAATGGAAGACATCATAAGGAATCAAGTGGTTACACCTTTATGTATGACTTCTAGCAGTACTACTTAGGAATTCCTTCCAGGGTGGTTGTTAATTGTAGTGTTTCTGATAACCATCAACATTGTTGCCATTAGTAATGTGTTAGAACTTAGATGTAGAGGAAAAGATTTTTCTTGATATTTTCATGTTCAGCACAGGTGGAATACAAGTAGATATAAATGAAAATATGAAAAGTGCTCTTCTATGAAAAAAATGTACTTTTGGGGCTGGTGAGATGGCTCGGTGGTCTAGGGCACCTACTTAGAACAAGCTAAGCTCAAGCAAAGCACAGGGACCGCGGTTCGATCCCCCAGCACCACATGCCAGCCCGCCCGCCCCCTGGTGGGCTGAGCTGGCCACACACTAAATAAATAAATAAATAAATAAATAAATAAATAAATAAATAAATATTTTAAAAAAAATGTACTTTATAACAAAACGGAGTAACAATAGTTAATATATTGTGTTTCATAATCCTAAAAGAATGTCTAAGATGTTACTCCCAGGATAATTTGTGGGCTAGAAGGACTCACCCACAAAAAAAGAACAAAAGCACAGAACATACTCTTCAGTGAACTAAGGGAAACTAGTAATATAAATAAATTAGCATATATAGTACAATTTTTTTTGAAGCAATAGAATAATTTAGGGGACTATTTGGGTGTTTCTTCCTACCTTGTAATTTATGATCTATTTTGCTCTTTCATACAAGAGAAGCCATGTTTATTTAACATTATGTTCTCAAGTTGTATCCACTTGCACATTTATCTTTTTAAATGGCAAAATGGTACTCCATTGTATATAAATAACATTTTCCTTATTCATCTGTTGAGTGTATACACAGTTTCCAAGATACCACTATTATAAATTGTGCTGCTATAAACATAGGTATGCATGGATCCATGTAATATGATGACTTTTAACTCTTTGGGGAATATTTAGAAGGCGGGTAGCTAAGTCAGATGGAATTTTTAGTTTCTAGAGGGATCTCCACACTGATTTTCTGTTCCTTTATTTGGTGCTGGGGAGTGTACTGAGGACCTTGTGCTTGCTAGGTATGTTCTGTACCACTCAGCTGTACTCTCCAACTGTTGATCTAATTTTGACACATAGTCTTTGTATTCTTGACAACTTGAGATTAAAATACATGAAGTTTTATGTGAAATTAATTTTCATTCAAAGAATTACCAAGTAAATTTTTATCATTGGGAAAATAGGTAGGACATAGTACCGTTCTTTGTGAAAGAGTACATATTTTGGGCCGGCCGCATAGCTTAGCAGAATAATGTGCCTGCAAACAGGCACAGGGGCCAGGAGTTCAGTCCCCAGGCCTGCTTGGGGCATGCTGAAATGGCAGCTGAGACTGGGCGTGGTGACACACTCCTGTAATCCCAGCACTTGGGAGGCTGTGAACAGGAGAATCACTATGAGTCCAACCTAGTGGTGAGACCCTGAACACCCTGTAGGGTGAAAAATAAAACAAAATACATAAATGTTAAGAAACAGTACACATTTTAAAGACATATCTTTGTGACAACAAAGATAGTCCCTACAGATTTTTTAAGATGCAGTCTGTTGGGTGATATAGTTCCTTTTCATAGGGGATGCGGAGATGGCTCAGTGGAGTAAGCGCTTCTCTGTCAAGCGCAAGGGCCTGAGTTCAATCCCTGGTTCTGCCAAAAAAAAAAAATCCTTTTCATATGTGCTGCCAAAGTACTTGTTCTGAAGTAAAAGTTTTGATGTCCGCCTAATCTGCTTATGATTAAACAAGCTATGGGCAAATATTGAATTAGAATGTAGATTTTTGTACACTACATCTTGATGAGGCTGTTCATTAAAGATTGTACTACTGAACCATAGATTTTCAAGAATTTTAGGTATTTGGGGAAAGATGTATTCAGTTTTGTATCTTGAGACATTTTAATGGAATTCTTGATGTGACTTTTTAGATAAAACAGTTGTAACATGTTCATGAGAAATTTCATCCACAGACTTAATTGGCTAATTTCTGAATAGTTCAGGTATAAATATCAGAAACCTTAGAGTCATTTGGTTATTTTTTTCACTATGTGGTATTAATCCATTATGAAATAGTTTTGCCTCTTTTTTTCAGAATACATTGTGATTCTTTCTTACTTGCTTTATTTCTAACGCTAGTGTAGACCACTTTTATTGTTCTGGTGGCCGTAGCTTTTCTGTCCTGCCCTTGGCTACCTTACGTTCTTACCTAGCCTCCAAATGCTACTTTTAAACCAAATTACGTGTTGTTTGCTTAAAACCTATAATGGCTGCCTGTCTTGCTCAGAATAAAGTCCATACTGTGGCTTTTCATGACCTGGCCCCATTATTCTTACCTTGTTTGGCTCCATTATTAAAAGTTCATAATCCACAGGTGTCCTGCCAGAAGGGTAGTAAAGCTACAGCCAGGATACCCAGCAGGATGTGGAGCAGCACTTGGGCTCACAAGTTTTTGCAAGAATCAGTTGAATTCACAGAAGCAAAAGTTAAAGGCCAGTAGCCACAGATACTTGAGATGACAGGGTGTTTTTGTAGACGTGTTTTGACACCAGTCTAAAGGGAAAAACTTCTGTGTTGGAAGTTTTTGAGTTTTGCAGATTGCAGAGAGATTATGGACCCTACTTTTCCTCTTACCCTCTGGCTTCCTTCCTTCCCTCCCTCCATCCCTCCCTTCCTCTCCTTTTTCCGTTCTCCTTTTTTGTTGTTTCTAAGTTGTTGCAGGCTTGTTTTCCTTTTAAGACTGTCTGATTCTTGATGTTCGCATTCCCTGGAATGCTATTCCTGTAGGTATTTTCAGCTCACTTTCTCGTATTGATTTAAATCTTCAGTCAGATGTTAACTCAGCTTCTAGGCTGAGCTTCCTCTCATGTGTTATGGAGTTTTTCTCCATAGTACTTACCGCCATCTGATATAAAGTATATTTCTTCTACTTTTTGTTCATTGTATTCACTACAATATAGATCCTTTGAAACGCTTTTGGTCTCCTTTATTCACTGTTGTTTTGGGTTTTTTTAGACAGGATCTCCACTCACTGTGTGGCTCAGGCTGGCCTCAAACTCTTCGTATCCTCCTGCCTCAGCCTCCCAAGTGCTGGGGTTGCAGGCCTGTGCCATCACCCCTGGCTCTCTATTCATGGTTACATCTTCAATTTCTACTTTATGGATACAGTCTCAGTTTAGAGGCTCAATCAGTATTTACTGAATGAATGATTTTCTCATTTGGGGGCCCCAGAACCTAAATAAATTAGATTTATTTGTAGTATAAATATATAATAAAGCATTTACTTGTAGCATAAATTTATTTGAACATTTGACCTTTGTTATTATAATACAAAGTGTGTCATCACTTTAAATTTATCTTTCAAAGGTGTCCTTAGGCAGAGTTTAGTTCGACTTACTGCATATGTTAACATACTAGAATAAAATTTTGAATTATACTTGTAGCATGAAGGGATATGGATTTTTTAATCCTTTAATCTGATGTTTCTTAAAGTGTTACTCTTTAAAGTTAACTACTGAAGAGTTACTACATTGGAAAATTAAGTATACTTTGTGTTTTTATTCATTATTATGTACATCTTATGGTAATTAAAAGTTTGTCTAGACAAGGAATTATATCAAGTTAGGGACATGTCTTGAGCTGAGAATTCTGTAAATACACAGTATGATGAGAATAAGGATCCTTACTTGGAATACACCCCTATTTCCTCAGTCAATTTAAGCTTACCTTTATTAAAATGTTTCTATTTCTTATAACAATGTCTGATTGTATAGTTTATAGGCAAGCAATAAACAGCAAGATGTTTGAGGTGGATATGAAAATTGCTGCAATGCATGTAAAAAGAAAGCAACTCCATCAACTACTACCTAATCATGTGCTTCAGAAAAAGAAAAAGGTAAATTTAGAGAGTACTTACAGCAACATTACTAACATGTTTTGTGCATCTATCATATCAGTATTTCAGCATTTAGGTTAATGGATCACCTGAAATAGATTGTAGCATTTATAAACCCTGTTTTGCGAGAGCAGTTCTATTATGTAAAAGCTTGCTGTAATGAGTTTTCCTTTTATTTTTTACTTATTTATTTATTTGCTGCTGTTGTTTATTGTTTTGACATGGGTCCCTCTGAGTAGTGTAAGCTGGCCTTGACCCAGTAGCCCAGATTGCCCTGGAGCTCATGACAGTCCTCTTGACTTCAGCCTCCTGGCTGCTGGGGCTGTAGGCGTGCACCATCACACCTGGTCTCTGATCATTTTATTTGGATACACTTGTCTCAGACTTCAAACAAGTGGTGATACTTCATACCTTTATTTTGTATACACTCAGATTCTTTATTATTTTTAAGTTTATATTAGTACATGTTTGTAATATAATGATGTCATTCATTGTTCTGTGTTTTTCAAGTCTTTTAGTCTTAACCGTTTAAAGTCCCACGTGAATGTCTAAATTCCTCTCATTGATTGACTGGTTGGGTTTTTGAGCCAAGGTCTTACTATGTAGTGCAAGCTGGCCTTTGAGCTCCCTGTGTAACCCAGGCTGGGCTGAGACTCAGCAGACTGCATCTCTGCCTTTGAGTGCCAGGATTACAGCCTTTTCTCTTTTAATAAAAAATGAAATTAATCAGATTACATCTAAGTAAATAACATGTTAAGAAAATGAAATTACCATTTTTGGTGAATGTAGGAAGATACTTTATTTGAAAATTAAGTAATATTTAAAAATTAGAGGTTATTGATTATAAAGAACAGGTCAACGGAAGTAAAATTATGCAGTATGGTGTTTCAGTTTTAGTGCTTTCTTTTGAATAAATCTGTTCTGGTATTCCCTTGTTTATTTAGGCTCCATAGTGAGCATAGTGGGAATTTTAATGCACAATAACAGTATATTTTCTTTAATTGGTTTCAAAAACAGATGGCTTGCTGGGTTTAGAAGCACACTGTTGTAGTCCCATCTACTCAGAAGGCTGAGGCAGAAGGCTCACTTTGAGCCTATGAGTTAGAGATTGGCTATACAGCATAGTGAGGTCCCCTCTGGTGGGAAGAATGTAATGTAATTCTGTAATGGAATAAATACCTTACAGTACACAGCAGTCAAAATATATGAATTACAGTTTCATCTATTAAGGACAAAGATGGATATGTATTTGTACTGTTTGATAATTGTATGTAAAGCTTACAAGTTTAAAACTTGTAATATGTTTAAGAGGATGAAATAAAAGTATGCATCAGAATAATGAGCTCTATTAGGAAAACTCGGCTCCTCTGCTTTGTATTTTGTTAGATGTGGGTAACAAGGATTTTTTAAAATAATTTTTTTGCCTTTTTGAGACAGGGTTTTGCTATGGAATTCAGACTGGCCTTGAATTCACTTTGTAGCCAAGGCTGGCTTTGAATTCCTGCCTCAGCCCTGAGTGCTAGGATTATAGGTGTATGCCACCATGGTGCCTAGCCTTATTCTTGACTTTTCTTATAGCTAGAATTTGGTTAAAACTTTTATCTGTCCCATTGGATATTACATGATGATAAAACGAGTCCATGTTCCAGTGCCTGGCGCAGAGAAAGCGGTTGCAGTAGCTTCCTTTTACATCATCCCCTCCGACTTTCAGAGTCTGAGAGTCAACCATATGGGTTGGGGGAAGATGGGGAGTAGTTTCTAAAATGAAGATTTTAAAGGCTTAAATATGTTACGTCTCTTGATTTTTTTTTTTTTTTTTTTTTTTTTTTTTGTATATTAGGCCATGCTGGATACAAACCCAGAGCCTCATATGTACTACATAGGCAGTACACCACTGAGCTGTTTCCTCACCCTGTGGTGTTACCTTAAAAAATTGTTATTCTCTCCTCGGCACTGGGGTGAAAAAAATCTCTGCTTAAACTAATGGTTCATGAATTAACAAACCTAGAAAGTGACCAAAATGTATTATTTACAAAATATACTGTTCCGCAATTTTAGTGTTATGTTAAACCTTGCCTGTCCTTGTTTGTTGTCTGTCTGTCTGTCTGTCTGTCTGTCTGTCTGTCTGTCTGTCTGTCTCTATCTCTGTCTGTCTGTCTGTCTGTCTGTCTGTCTGTCTGTCTGTCTGTCTGTCTGCATTGCTGGGGATAGAACCCAGGGCCATGTACATGCGTACTGAGCAGGCACTCTTATCAGTGGACTACATTTTCAACTATGATAGCCTGTTATCAGTAGGTTAAAGCATTTGCAGTTAAATGTAAATTTGATGCATGTAGAAATGTGTAATTGTTACTGTTTTTAGAAATGAATATACATTGATTATTTTCTTTAGCACTTAGCTATTTCTGCTTTAAATACAAGATATTTATGACAGATAACTAGATCTTCCAGTGCTCTAGATTTGCTCCTAAGCTCAACTTTAAATGGGTATTTGGGTATTAGGGTTGAATTTAGGTTCACACTGAGCTGCATTCTCAGCACGTGTTTTTACTTTTTATTTTTTGAGACAGGATCTTTATAAGTTGCCTGCTCAGGCTGGCCTTGAATTGATGGTATTCCTGCTTTAGCCTCCCAGTGTATATGCACTACCATACCTGGCTCAACTGAATTTTATTATGTTTTATTTTGACCTTTTTTTTTTTTTTTTTAGACAGGGTCTCACTATTCAATTTAGGCTGTCATTGAGCTCACTGTGTAGCCCAGGCTGGTCTTGAACTCAGTGATCCTCCTGAGTGCTGGGATTACAGGCGTGCACTGTCACACCCAATGCACTATTTTGAATGTAAAGAGAATTTTTCTTTTTTCGGAACCGTAGTTTAAACTCAGACCCTTGCGCTTGCCAGGGAAGCACTTATTCTACTGAGCCATCTCCCCAGCCCCAAGAGAATTGTATTTATCAAATGAAGTAACTATAATCTCACCTTGCTCTTAGTGTTTATTTCTACAGTGAATGTTCATTGGACATTATCACATATATGTATTTCTAAAATATTTTTGATGAAAATTAGCATTTTATGATCTACATGTTATCTATCCAAATGATCTTTTTAGTGGCTGCTGTTTCTTTGTATGGCTTTCTGTATTTGAAGTAATTTAGATTATTTCCTGGTTTCTATTATTAAAATAGCACTTCCTTCTTTTGGTTTTTTTAGACAGGGTCTTGTTATGCAGTTCAGCCTGGCCTTGAACACACTGTTTAGCCTAAGCTGGCCTCTAACTTGCAGCAGTCCTCTGCCTCAGCCTCCTTAGTACAGGAATTACAGGCGTGTGCTGCCACTCCTAGCCTGGCTTGCTTTATTTTATAAGCATCAAGTATCTGGGAATCTGAATCCTTTAGAGCTTGGTTTGTTTGGTTTTAGTGTTTTGAGATAGGGACTTGCTATGCAGTTCAGGCCAGCCTTGATGTCATTACGATCTTCCTGCCTCTGCCTCCCAAGTGTTGGGTTCACAGATACATACTGCATTCCCATAGCCATCTTGCTTACTCTTAGGTCCTCTATTTGTAAAGCACTCTGGCAGTCCTTTTTTGTAGTTATGTCTCAGCATCTCAGAAGAGGTATTGACTCTTAAAGGTCAAACACATTGGTTGAGAATCTTGGCCAATTCTAAGTCTAAACTGAGTTGGACCTAGCTGGGTCTGACTGAGAGGCATGAGCATTTGTTTCTCTGAAGTAAGCTCTTGTTCTATTTACTTTTAGAGTATTTATTATGATTATTTTTGGCTTTGAACCCTTTTCCTACTAAACTTGATATAGACAGAGAACTGAGTAAAGTAGAATGCTGTTTTGTCTTCAAACCAAGCAGTTAAATTCTTCACATGTACACATCCTTACGTTCTATGTCACAGGTGTTTGCTCATGCCAGTAAGTGCGTATAATTGAACATAATTTACTCAGTAAAAACATCTTCACGTCAGTGAGTAGTAAAGTTTGTGAATGTGTTTGAGGAAGAAATACGAAATATGTTTATTTAGATTATTTATTTTGCAACTGGCGTATAAACAAATGGCATTTTTTACTGTCCTCCTGTCTATCAAATCTTGTCTTTCCATTTGATCTTTTCTGATTTCTTGCCATAAGGGCCTTAGTACTAAATCAGAGATTAGAATATCTTGTCATTTGGGGAACTGAAGAGCAGAGCATATACATACATACATACATACATACATTTGAAATGAGTCTTTGCCATCAGTGTCCGTAATTTCTATTAAAATGTTTCTACTTGAGGCCAAGGTGTCCTTCAGGAATACAGCTCTTACTGAGCATGCTGTGAGTTTGACCGCTGCCGCTGAAGGAGAAAAAGACCCAGAACAAGGCACATGCACAGAACCCAAAACATTTCTGCAGTGACGTGAACATATTGCTGTTGAGTATATTCTGGGAAAAGAAGGAAGCCAGAGGAATTAGTGTAACATTGTAATAGCACTTGCTAGCAAAATTTAAAACTTCGGTCACTTTAGATTTCTGTGAAACCATCAATAAATTTTTGGTTTTCTTGTATTTTCTCTTTTAGAGTACTGTGATTTTTATTTTATTTTATTTTAGCAGAGCTAACATTTAAGTTTTATATGGCAATATTAGGAATTTTCCTTCTATTTTTCACAGGATAATGGACTGTTAAAATCTAAATTGCAGTTAGAGCACTGCAAATCTCTTGCTTTTAAGAGTCATTTATTGATAAATAGTGAGTGGCAACAAATTATAATTGATAATTTTTTGGAAATTGTATAGTGATTGTATTCATTATGAGATAATTAAAAATCTGTTAAGTAACTTCAGGTATGTTGTGTGCACCTATGATCTCAGCTGCCTGGAGCCTTGGGCAGGAAGATCCAGGGAGCCTAGGAGCTTAAAGCCAATAGTAACCACAAGATAAGGCCTTTCCAGCCTTCCTTTCTCTCCCTCTCTGAATTTACACATAATCACAAAACCACGTCTAGTCCCAGGAGCCAGAGATGGTCATCGCTAGTGTCAGGAATATTAAAATCTTTTTCCTTGTATGTGCATATTTTTATAGTATGAGTCCAAGATTCATATATTTTCATATTTATAGTGATTGTGGTTCCAGTCAGTATATATATGGCTTATGTAACATTCTTGGCTCATTGTCTCTTGTCATAACTCTACTAAAGAAGTATGTGACTCGTGGATCTTTGCCATTTACAGTTAGCCTGATACTTACAATTCTTAGAAACTTAATTTCTCATTTTGAGTGGGGCATATGTGTAGGTTAACAGTGTTCATATTTCAGAGGCCTGCATGAAATAAAATTATGTTTAATAAAATACTTTATTGATTGCAGCACTCAACAGAAGGAGTGAAATTAACAGCTCTGAATGACAGCAGCCTTGACTTGTCTATGGACAGTGACAACAGCATGTCTGTGCCTTCCCCCACCAGTGCTACGAAGACCAGTCCATTGAACAGCTCTGGCAGCTCTCAGGGGTAAGGAGACAATCCAAAGCACTCAGTAGCTGTTAGTGGAATGCTTATATTCTCTTCTGACCATTAAAGTCATCCTATTATTAGAGTGTTAATTTTATTCTGCCTTCTGATATTTTAAAAATAACAACTCCCAGTTTGGGGGTAGTAATTTTTAGTTTTATCCTAATGTGTCTACCTGAATTTAATTTTTGAGACCAGTATACCTGGATTTATGAATATCCTTTTCTCTTCACCTGTCTGTGTAGTTAAATACAGATACATTGAGCTATGTATGGTGTGCTAAAGAGAATTAGGCGAAGGCATAAACCTACCTTTCCATCCTAAAGCTGTTTATACACACAGGAGAATGTACCTCTGAAACCATTAGCAGTCTTCTGAAGAAATTAATATCTCTGCAGAGTGGTTTTAGAAGAATTAAGTATCTCTTTAGAAATAAGGTACTTGGGCTGGCCAGCTAGCTCAGCAGATTAAAGTCCCTGCTTAGGCAGATGCAGGGGACCAGGGTTCCATCCCTGGTGTGCATGCCAGCCTTGCCCCTGGGGTGCGCTGAGACTCTGATTGAGACTGGCGTGGTGCCATGGACCTGTAATCCCAGTGCTTGGGAGACTGAAAACAGGAGGATCACTATGAGTATGATCTGTGTAGTGAGATCCTGTAGACCCTGTACTAAGTACATTAAAAAGAAAGAACAAACGACTGAACAAACTTAAAAAATACAAGAACTGAGTGTGGTGGCTCACACTTAAGAGTCATAGCACTTAGGTGGCTGAGATTGGAGGATTGCTTTGAGTTTGAGGCCAGACTAGGCCACGTAGTTCAAAACCAGCTTCAACTATGCAGTGAGACCCTGTCTCAAAAAAAGCAAACAAAAAAACCCCCAAGATTTGAAATGAGTATATATGTCTGTGACAGTAAAAATTTAGTTTATTATAACGTATCCTTCTAGAAATTCTTCACATATTTTCAAGGCAGTTCTTTATAGTTAGCTTCAGCATTTTCAGCTGTGATAGGTATGCTGATTACTTTGTTAATAAAGTTGACTGTTAAACTTGAGACATTTTAAGACACATATATTGTATAGTTCAGTTTTTTTAACAACAAATTGAACTGCCGATGTATACCCTGTGGTAGATGTGCAGTTTGGGGGTGATTCCTCTGGGAAAGTTGATGTAGATGATGCCTAGGTATAGTGGGTGAGTGCAGTAGGTTTTTCCTTTGTACTTTGTGTGCATGGAGTGTTATTGAATTAAGAGTAAAGACAGCAAACCTGAATGCGTTCTTTAAATTTTGTAAATTTAAAACAACTTCCTACTCAAAGCATTACACACACACACACACACACACACACTCTGAGGGTAGAATCTAAATCCTTGCACTGAGCTAAATGCCCAGTCCTTTTTATTTTCTTATTTTTAGACAGTTTCACTAAGTTGTCCAGCCAGCCATGTGCTACCATGCTTGACCTCTTCCTTTTTTTTAAAGAACAGGATTGTTTACTCCAGATCAGTTCTTTCAGAATTATTCTGTCCAGTGTGATACTCACCATGTGTGGCAATTTAAAATTTAGTACTAAAAAAAATTAAATACTCAGTTTCTCACAACCCGTACGTCAAGCATAGAGTAGTCACATCCTTCTAGTGGCCACCATATTGAATGGCACAGATAAGAGCATTTTTTCATCACAGCTCTGCGATCAGTGCTGATTTATAAAATGTTTGCCTTTGATGTTTGGTTATGTTTTATTAAAGTCAGTTACAGAAGCATATGTGTTGGAAGGAAAATCAAAGAATCATTTGTTTCAGACCTATTTGTACTAAATATTGAATTTTGTTTTGTGCTTTTGTTTTTGCTGTTAAATCTTAACTCCTGGTGGGGGGTCCTCTTGTTAGCAGAAACAGTCCTGCTCCAGCTGTGACGGCAGCATCTGTGACCAACATCCAGGCTCCTGAAGTCTCTGTGCCACAAACAAATTCCAGTGACCGCTCAGGGGGTAAGATTGGTGTGATGCTTCAAAAAAACGCTGTAATTGGTTTTACCCTTCAGTTTGAAAAAATGTATTTGTGTTTTTTAGAGCTATTATTTGTAAAAGTTTTCCTGAAATCAGAGAAAAGCTTGTAACTTGATGCAATTATTTTTATTTGCATTTTTGGCATATTTACTGTTTAGGTACATCGAGTGAAAGCATTCCTCAAACTGCCACACAGCCAGCCATTTCGCCACCACCAAAGCCTACAATCTCTAGAATGACTTCCTCAACGCGTCTGGTAAACCCACCGCCTAGAACTTCAGGAAATACAGCAACAAAAATACCTAACCCTATAGTAGGAGTCAAGAGAACGTCCTCACCTCATAAAGAAGAAAGTCCCAAGAAACTCAAAACAGAAGAGGTACATATGTATATGTATATGTATATATAGATGTATACACATATTCATGCAAATAGAAAAAGTACATTAGCCAGCCATAGTAGTATCTAGTGTGTTTTCCGTGGTCCTTTGCCATCATAGTTGTTCTTCACTTTCCCACTCTTTTATTTATTTATTTTTTTATTTATTTATTTTTTAAAAATATTTATTTATTTATTTGTGTGTGTGTGTGTGTGTGTGTGTGTGTGGCCAGCTCAGCCCACCAGGGGGTGGGGGCTGGCTGGCATGTGGTGCTGGGGATTGAACTGTGGTCCCTGTGTTTTGCTTAGCTTAGCTTGTTCTAAGTAGGTGCTTTAGACCACTGAGCCATCTCACCAGCCCTCCCACTCTTTTAGTACCTGCCTGTTTGTAATTCCTTTTCTCTGATGTGCCACTGTGTATGTGTGTTGCTGCTGCACGGAACTGAACCTAGGACTTTGTGCGTGGTAGGCAAGTGCTCTACCACTAAGGCATATTCTTGGAGTTTTTTTTTTTTTTTTTTTAATTTTAGTTCATGGTCTGACTATACAGTTTGGACTTGTAGTGATCCTCCTGTTCACAGCCTCCCTGGTGCTGGGATTACAGGTGTGCCCCACCACGCCTAGTCTAAATTGCTGTCTCAGTGCGCCCTTGCACAGCACGCTGGGGATCGAACCCCTTCTTTTTTTTTTTTTAAAAAAAAAAAAAGCAAATGTAGTCTGCTACAAAACTACATCTTTTGGGAGTAAGGTGTTGTGTATAGCTCTGGGCATTTAACCTAGGACCTCCACACTGAGCTACAGCACTAGCCCTTTTTATTTTGGGACAGAGTCCTAAATTGACCAGGCCAGCCTTGAACTTGAGAGCCTCATTCAGTCTTCTAGAGTGCTGGAAATAAAGCATGTGCCATAAGGTCCCTCTGTCTTGATTTTTTTAGTAACTATTTTATTGAGTCTTTGCCCCCTTATGATTAACTCTTTTGTTGTTGCTTCTGTGGTGTAGATATTTTTACTACACTTACAATGAAAGGATTGGTGAAGGAGAGGTTTGTGGGCATTTAACTAGGGGTTCTGTGCACACAAATCTGTAGTCAGATTAGTTTGAGGACCTTGAGTGACTAGACCCTTTAACCCTTTAGGAAATGTTCTAGGACATTTAATTTTTTACAGTAATGGCTTTACTTATTGAAGACACATGAGAAAAAGAGTATATTGATTTGGTATGAGTGTGTTTTGTTTTGTTTTTTTTCAGTGCTGAGGATTGAGCCCAGAATGTTGGCTCTGCTCGGCAAGTGCCTGCACCCCTTGGTGAAGGTCTTAAGTACATGGAATTTTGTACTCTTTTTATGCAGTTTCCTCTCTGGAATTATTGGAATGTTTTCATGTTAATCCTTCGCTGTTATCCAGAGAGCTCAGTCTACGATCACAAATACCATTGTTTTTTGCCGAAAAAGTTTGTTATTTAAGAACTTTTTTTGGTACCGGGAATCAAATCAGGACCTTGCACTTGCCAGGTAGGCACATATGCCACTGAGCTATATCCCTAGCCCTGTTTTAGGAACTTTTGAGAATGGAAAAAGTAATGTAGGTTTCTTATGATATCCATTATGTCAACTAATAATGGTGAAAAATAATTTCTAATTGAATCCTTTTGTTTTACATTGTTTTTAGAAAAAGCACTGTTAACTTAAACTGAAATTGGATGACTTATGTCACTCCTAGAATACTAGATTGGGCGGGCATGGTAGGTTTGCCTATAATCCCAGCACTCAGGAAGCTAAGATAGGAGAGCACTGGGTCTTCAAGACCATTTGGGGTACAAAATGCATTCAAGGCCAGCCTGAACTGCATAGGGAAACCCTACCGTAGAAACAAATAAATAAATTGCTAGACAGGAGTGTTTTCCCACTCTTGGTTATATTGATGGGCATAGTGTTATCATACCTTACTGTAGAAGGGGCACTGCAGACCTGTCTGTGCAGCCATCTGTTGAGTCAGTGATTTTAGCCTCAGTTTAATTCTATTTTCAGGGTTTTTGTTTTGTCTTTTGTTTTTTCCTTTTTTTTTTTTTTTTTTAATCAATAGATTTTTAAGGCCTCCAGGAACATTGGATCTCAGTTCATTTAGGAGTTAGGCCTGGGCCCTTCACTGTGCAGTATCCCAAGGGCCTGCTAATTCTTGTGAAGGTTGCACTCTGCCTGTTGATGGGTGGTACTGTGAGTTCTCAGGACATTTCAAGCAACATTCAGAGTTTTTTATTTTAACCTGGCTAAGGATACAGACACAACTCTTGTCTTTACATATTCATTTTATAAAAGACACAGTGAAAGCTCTTAGTAAATAAATATATACCAGTCCCGTTAAAAGTTACAAGTATATTTGAAAGTGAAGAGAATCTTTTATATCTGTGTATCTACCACATAGCAGTAGTTACAATGAGCTCTCAGCCTATCTTCCCTTAATTCCGTCAGCGTTGTCTTATTTGGGCTTTGCTCTTGAACTGTTTAGAAGCAGTACCTGGGCATCATATAATTCATTAGAATTTTTAAGTTGTGTATATAAAATCATGTACAAACAAAATGATCCCATTTCAGGGAAGTTAATAATTCCACTAATAAATATATCTCACGTCTTATTTAAATCTCCTTGACTATCTTGGTTTTTTTTTTTTTTGTTTTTTTTTTTAATCTCTTCGTTCAGATGTGGAGCTAAATAAAATCTCTACATTAAGATTACTTGTTTTTTATGTCATATCCCCTGGGAGAGAGTAGAACCCAGGTCCTTGGCCTTGAGGTACAGTACCATCCCCAGCTCATGATTTAGAGACAGGCTCTTGCTAGTGCTGTGTTCCCCAGCCTGGGCTTACACATGAGCTACAGAAGGGGTCTTCTAGTATTTCATATGGAGGATAATTGCATTTTCCAGCAGGGAAACTTGAGGTACAGTCACATTTCCAGATATAAAACTAATTTTAGTTAGAGGCAGGATTAAAACTGAGGCCTACATCTCCTGGTGCTAAGCTGAAGAAGTATGTTGTTGTATAAATATCCTAATATTGAAGCCCTCCTAAATTGAGTTTTTCTTGTGCTCTCTGTTCGTGAGTACTGGTGTTAGAAATTTTAGTGAATCAGAAGGAAATACAGATCTTGCTGAAGCCACTAATATGTTATATAGGTAAGAGGTTGAGGTGAGATGATGTGGTTTAGTTTTGACTAAGGTACATCTTGTGCTAATGTCAAATATCATGGATTATGTGACTGTTACTGTTTCAGAAACTTGTTTTGGAAATTTCATTTACAGATTCATTGCACTTTCTCATTTGCATCACTCAGCCTCAACAGGTATCTTATGGCCAGCTTTGTTTTGTTAATACACTTCATTCCTCCACTGTTTTAAGGCAGTTTTTTAGTTTATGTATTTGGTACAGGGTCACGTTAAGCAGCTCGGACTTGTAGTGACCCTCCAGTTTTCAGCCTCCCTAGCACTGGGATTACAGGTGTGTTCCACCACACTCAGACTCAGTCGCAGCTCAGCACACCCAGGGGTGGGGCTAGTGTGGTATGTGGTGCCCAGGATCGAACCCTGGTCCCTGTGTTTGCCTAAGCAGGCACTTAGTCTACTGAGCTGTCTCACCGGCCCTAAGGCAAACAGTTTTAATTGTGTTTTAGTTTATGACCCAAGGAGTTCCTGAAAACCGCAGAATATCATGCCAGCTTTGATAATAGCTCCATACAGTCCCAAGTCCAGTCAATATTGATATTTGTGACTTAAATCAGTAATAAGCTTATTAGAATAAGTCTTGTGGAATTAAATCTTTTTGTAGTCTGTGTAAGTCTGTGGTTTCTGACTTTGTTTTTAAAAATCTATTGAAATTAAATTGTAGCTATGGTTAATAACCCTGAGGAAGTAAATCAGTATGGTTTCTCAGATTCAAGGAGGGTAAATCTCAAACTTTGTGTTCTTTAAGGTGTTAATAATAGGTCTTACTAGGAAAGGGGTTATATGTTTCTTATTGTGGTCAATTACTTTTGAAAAAAACTAACGTGTTTTTAGCTTTGAAGATTTTTTTTTTCTTTTTGCGGTTCTGGGGATTGAACTTGGGACCTTTCACATGCCAGTCAGATAACCTATGCCACTGAGCTGTCTCTCCAGCCCCTGAATTTCTTAACTTAATATGTGCCAATGTATTGGTTTCTTGTAGCAGGGATGATAGTACCCCCAGTTTCTGAATTTGTTCTATGAGGGAACTCTTACTTACTAAAATCATTATGTGAATTTACTCGTTTTGACATTGTCTGTAAGGGTAATATTCCAAAAACCTGTTTAGAAGGGTAGTTGTGATCTCTTTAAAGACTATACTTGGTCTTACAGGCTTGATTATTTTATAGGTTTGATAAATTTTTGTAAAGTAAAACATTGATTGGCAAGTAATCTAAATTTTTCATTTTAGAGAATAAAGCTTTTCTTTTTAAAAACAGGATGAAACAAGTGAAGATGCTCACTGTGTTGCTTTGAGTGGACATAAGACAGAAGCAAAGGTATATGCATTTAGCCTGTAGAGTACATGTGTGACCAAGAGTACAGACATGTTAGAAATGTCTTTAGAGTATTGTACTATAGTTTGTGCTGTAGATTTTAGATTTTTCTCTGCATTGTTTTTAGAGAAGTATTTGTATCTTTTTAATATTAATTAATGACATAAGCTGAAGGGAATTACATGGTGTGACATTGCTATACATTTAACGAGCTTATAGTTAAACAGAAAGTAGCTTGTAGATGCAAGTAATTGTAAAATGAACACCATAGTCATTGATGGTTGGGGATTCCAAGGGGCAAGAATAGGAAGGGTTTTTTTTTTTTTTTTTTGTGGAACCGAGGATTGAACTCAGGCCCTTGCACTTGCCAGGCAAGCTGTTATTCTACTAAGCTATATCCCTGGCCCAGGAAGATATTCTTGACTGCAGAAATGAACTTTACAGAAAACTGCAGCAGTATTTGCGTGGTTTTTGCTGGAAACAAGATTGGGGCTTTTCCTGTGAGAGATGGTCATCTCCCTGTTAGGCTCCATAGTGAAGTGTGGTTAGCAGACTCATTTTTAGCACAAGGTTTGGCTGGAAGCTGAGGTGCATGGGCCTTGAATGAAGGAGGTTGGCTAGAGGAGAGCGGTTAAGTTGGATGCCACAGAGTCGCATTTTCAGAATGCCCCGTCCTTCCCCTAAATTACCCAGATTCCCATGTTATTTGAACATGTATTCTTTGGTGTCTTTGGACCAAACAGTGTGTGCTCTCGTGTGCATACAGTACTGATGCCTTTGCTTTCCAGTTTTTAAGTCACTTTGTAAACCAAGAAAATGTGTTCGTGTCATTATAGAATCTAAAAATCATTAATGGCCATGTAGAAGGCTGTTAAGAAATTTTGTCCACCTCCCTATTGTTAGCAGTTTTCTCTAAAAACAAAGTTGTACTTTCTATTCTAATGCTCACTCTAGTTAGATACCTATCATTCTTGCACTTATTTTGGATAAACTAATAAAAGAATTATTGGCACAAATAGTGTACTTAATTTGAAACTTAATACAAGTTGCCAAGTTGTCTTCCAGAAGGACTGCATTCTTATTTCTATTGTAGTTACCTTATGGTTTTAT